CATACCCTCCCCGACACGTACCAGGGGGTCCACGCCGTACCGTCGCCGTACTGCCTCCAACACGCCGCCCACAACTCCACCACCACCACCACCAGCGGTAGAACCTGCACCTGCTGCCGCCTTCCCCTTCCCCTTCCCCTTCTCCTGCTCCGTCTCATCGCCGCCTGCTCTGTCTCTCCGCCGCCCCTTAACAACGCCTCCTCCCCCTCCCCCTCCCCCTCCCCCTCCCCCTCCTCCTCGTCCCTTTCCCCCCGTGTCCTCCACTTCCTCCGCCCCTCCCGCCGCCCCGGTGGGCCTCCCTTCTGCTACTGCTCCTGTTGCTGCTACAGCTACTCCATTACTACCCGCGGGTGTAGCGAGATCGGCGGCGGCGGTAGCGGCGGCGGCGGCGGCGGTGGCGGCGGCGGCAGCGCTCTCCCCAGCCGCCAGCTGTTTGATCCTTAGAACCAGCGCCGCCGCCACCGCCGACGCCAAGTACGCCGCCTCACCGATGTCGTTACACATCGCCAAACGTTGCGCCGCCAACTGATCTCGGAAAGAAGCCGGAATCACTCCAGGGGCGTCCAGAAGGTCGAGCTGCTCGTCCACTCGTACCCAACGAAGCTGCCGTGTAACGCCTGGTTTCGGCGCGGAGGCGACGGCGCGGCGGTTGACGAGGCGGTTGATGATTGCGGACTTGCCGATGTTTGGAAACCCAATGACGCAGGCGCGGACGGGTCGGGGCTGTAGACCGCGCTTGGCTCGTTTGGCATTGAGCTGGGCGGCGACCTGCAAGTCGAGTTGAAGGCCGGGAAAGAATTCAAATTTGAAAAAACTGACAAGACGGAGGCGGTTTTAAACGTGAGTAACCTTGTGTGTCAACAGATCCGTCAAAGGATCCGTTTTCGGCTTCTCCACAACACCCCCCGGTGTGTGTGTGCATATCTGTCTGTCTGTTTGTCTGTCTGTCTGTATGAATGTCTGTCTATTTGAATGCCTAGGGGAATCCTTTGCTGGATATGGCTGTACGGGGTCCAGGAAGCGCAAGGCAGCAACGGAATGCGATTGGCCCTCTTTACCCCCACACACCCCCCACCCCACACACACAATACACACACACAGGCAGCCACATCCCAACGAGAGGTCCCCTCAAGGCAGCACCTTGAGCAGCTCCTTCTTCACACCCCGGACCCCGTCGCCGCTTCGCCCGTCCGTCCAAAACACTTGCTGCCGCGTGGCACGGAAGTGCGCTCTCCAAGCCGCCAGATCGCGCTCCGAAACCTCGTCTGCCCGGTTCATGAGCAGCAGACGCGGCTTGACTCCCACCCACTGGGCGATCTGCGGGTGGTGTGTGGAGATGGGGATGCGGGCGTCGCGAACCTCCAACACCACATCCACCATTCCGAGCTGGGCCTGGGGGGGGCCGGGCGGGACGGGGAAGGGGGGGCGGAGGGGTGAGAGGGGGGGGAAGGGCGAGTTTGGGGGGTTTTGGGTTGTGTGGGTGTGCTAGTGGATACGAGTGGTAGCGGTAGCAGGTGGTTAAAATTACGGTACAGATAGACAAACATACAGGCAGCCAGATAGACAGGCAGACAGACAAACAGGCAGTCGGGTAGGGGGAGGCAGTCAGGTGGCAGCACCGGCAGCAGCAGCAGTAGCAGCAGCAGCAGTACCAACTAACAGCAACAGTAGCAGCAGCAGTACCAACTAACAGCAGAAGTACCAACTAACAGCAGCAGTAACAGCATGCAAAGCGCCCGCGCTGCCTAATACTTAGCTGGCCCCCTTAACACGTTCAAGAGAGCGCCCATTTCCGTTCCCTCCTTTTTTTCCCCTTTCTCGCTCACACATACACACAGGCACACACATACACACATACACACTCTTATTCTCTTTTCCCCCCTCGCCGCTCCCTCTCACAAGCAAATAAATACAAATATACACACCACACACGCATACTTTGAGTTGTCTCTCGGCTCGGGCGATGTGGCCCGGATACCATTGCACCATGCGGACCTGGGGGGTTGGGGAAGTAAGGGAGTTGGGGGTTGGGAGGGTTAGGGTTAGGGGTGGGTAGGGGGTGGGTAGGGTTAGGGGGGTGGGTAGGGTTAGGGGGTGGCGGCCCGTGAAGTTGTCAGGTCAGACGAGGTGAGGTGAGGTCCGTTGATGTTCGGGGTTTTGATTTTCCGTTTAATGCTTTTTAACCCCTTCGAATCCTGCCGTTAGCAGGGGCAGGATAGAGGGGTAGGATTATAAATGACATTCCCCATACACCGAGGTCGCTGCCATTTTAAAATCGGTATTCTACCCCGGCCCACCTGCAGTGATTCATCTGACATGTCTGAAAGCTGGAGGTAGTTGCGACCACCAGTTTCAGCGGCTGCCACGGCGTCCTGGTCATCTAAGACGAGGTCGTCGCCGGTCAGGAGTTCCTGCTGGCTGCTGGCGGCTGCCATCGACAGTGCACAATGTGAGGTGGAAGAGGAGACCTTGAAGCGGTTGTACACGGGCCACCTTGGGCAGAAAGAAGATGCAGTGAGGAGGGAGCCAGGTAGATGCATGGCTTTGTGGCGTAAGGGATGCGCTGCCGGTGAGCAACGCGGAGACGTCGACGTGACTAGTCGATGCATTGAGCCTATCGGCCTCAGCGGCAATTCACCCGTGCTAGTTGCCAAGCTCTGCATCCTCATATAACATATAGGTTTACAGCTACGGCGACGGAAACTCGTTTGGATGAGTTTAGTCGGCGGGTCACAACTCACAAGCAGAGTCCTGCTCACAAGACTCACAGCAAACCAACCTTCCAAGCTGAAGTAGGCTAGAAATATTACGCTTTGCAAGGAGCCTAACAATTTGGGCCTAAGCAGCCTTAGTTCGCTGAATCGTTTCCAGTGCCTTGCCGTAACTAACGGTCTGCCACCACATTTCCTAGTCCCCCTTTTATTTTCGCGTTGTGTTGCTTCCAACTAAACAGCTTGGTTTTTGTAATTGATGAAAACACTGTAGCACCCAAAAGGCAGCTTGTCTGCGGTTGGTCGTTCGGCGCTGGTGTTTCCTAATGGCCTTATAAATGCGTTAATCTTTTTAAACCTCTCGCTGTACCATAATTCAAATAATAAGGAGCTGTGGTAGCGCCGCCGCTAGGCCCCCACAATCACAGCAGCAAGCATGCCCGCGCTTGCACTTGTCCTCGTCGACTCGTTGCTCAAGGTCGCCGGTGGCGTTGCAATTGGTTGGTTGCTACGCGACGCCTCATCTAAGCGGAGCGCCAGGAAATCCGCCAGCGCCAGCAGCACAAAGAAGGCCGGCAACAACAGCAGCAAGGCAGCAGCTCGCCGCGCGGGCGCTGCTGCAGCTGCGTCCCCCTCGCCTGCTCCCGTTCCCCGCCCCAAAGAGGAGCTCAAAATGGTCCTGTGCGTCAACATGTCTTTAAAAATGGGTACGGGCAAAGTGGGCGCGCAATGCGCGCATGCGGCTGTGGGGGTCCTCTGGGCGCACTACCAGAGCCACAACGTTGCTATACGGCAGTGGGAGATGTATGGACAACCCAAGATTGCGCTTAAGGTAAGCCAGCCGGTAACCCGAGCGGTAAAGGAGTGCTATCTGGGTCAGGGCATCTGCAACCCCTGCACATATAGCCAGCAGCACGTCGAATCTCACAATTGAGGGGCCCGGGCCCCCGGAGACCTCTCTCTCGCGGGGAGGGGTAACCTCCGCGGGGAGGGGAGGGAAAGCAAAGGCCCGTCGGGGCAAGTGCAGCATCCCATGTGCGCGGAAACAAAAGCCGATGGATCAGACTTGTGGGGGGAGGTGAAGAGGTGTATGGGAGGGGGCCGCGTTGCTTGGGACATACGTGTGTGTATGTATGTATGTATGTATGTGTTAAGTAGGGGGGTTCAGCTTCACTACCCACCACCGACATCGCTGTATGTGTATCTATTTGTATGTGTATCGATATGTGTGTATCGATGCGTGTGTATATCTATGTGCGTGTATCTATGTGTATGTGTATCTATGTGTGTATCTACGTGTGTGTGTGTTCTGCACCCCTGCAAACCCCGCGTTGGACAGTTGAAGAGAACCAACGCAACCAGAGGAGTGCTAACCAGACCACCTCTCCGCATCACCACTGTCATTTCCCTTGAAGGCTTGACAGGATTATAAAAGTGTTCAGGTGGCCAAGAGCACGTGTGTATTGGTTCAGGTCCTGACGGTTTGGGAACGGACGCCAGCGACGGCGCCCCCTCCCCCCGAACCAGGGGGTGCACTTCCAACGGGGCTCTCATTGAAATGACTTTCCTAAAGCTCGTATGTATGCATACATACATACATACATACATACATACATACATACGTTGCGTGTAGGTGGGCGACGAGGCGGAGATGGCGGAGCTAGAGGCTAAGGCGGTGTCGCTGGGCATGCCCACCTACATCGTTCACGACGCAGGTCGGACCCAAATCGCTGCGGGCTCTCAGACGGTGCTGGCCATAGGGCCCGCACCCAAGAGTGAGCTGGACACCGTCACGGGGCACCTGAGGCTGCTGTGAAGTGTGAGAAAAAGAAGGAAAAGAGAAAAAGAAAAAGGCTCCCAAGGTGTCATCACTAAGAATAATTGATTTATTCCGGATTGGGCTCCTAGGCTCACAGGCTCCTAGGCTCGCAGCGTCATGTATGGCAGGGGCCGAGACCTTACTTTTTAACCCCAAATCAGTGTCACATCCTCCGCTGCGAGGTGGCAACCATGGCAGCTGTTGGTGGTGATGGTGGTGGTGATGATTTGTTGGGTAGTTTTATAAGCAGCAAACCAAAACAGGTTCCCTGTCGCTCTTTTTCTAATCGTGACTTGGTTCTCAAGTTTATAGAGCTGGATTCCTGAACTGCAAGGAGATGGATAGAGAGGTAGAGGAACAGGGGGAAGAGGAGGAGGAGGAGGGGATGGTGTTTCATTTTTCAGGCTAGCAAGGCGAGAAAAGCGGGACGAGGACAGACGCTTCGGAGGAAGGCAGGAGGCACAAATAAATTAAGAGCAGGATGAGGAGGAAGATTAGAAGGACGCGGTCTAGAAGGTGGCACGGGACAAAGGGAGGTGCGGGAGCTTACAGACAAATAAACCGATGGACACAGCAAAGCAAGGGTGCAGCCATGATGGAGTGCTGCGTTGGCTTACCTGCTATGAGCACTGACTCGGCAGAGCGCGCGTGTGCGGGAGAGGAATGGCTTTGAGGGTTGAGGTTATTCGACGATAAAGCAGCTATCATCGTAAGCTTGGCGATTCGGCACCGCCAACCGGAAATCGCACGAGCTCGCAAGACGTGCGAGCAGAGGGGACGGACGCTGTACAGCATCGTAATGAGACTTTCAAATGTCGTTGCGCCCTATGGGCCCTACCAGGCACCACTAACTTGCGTACATACACACATCCCGTACAACCTGTTGTCGCCTACATAGTATCCTGATTTTAAACTTTTTTATTCTAATACTCGTCAACATGGACTAGTATTCTTCAACTTCTGCTCCTATGGAGGCCTAAAACCCTAAGACCCATACCACTACACCGAAACAGCTGTAATACCTATTACTATTACTACTACTACTACCACTACTGAAACCGCAGGCAGCTACATGCCAGCAACACCGTTAGCACAGCCAGTAGCAACAACAACAACAACAAGTTTCGCAGCTGACACGTGAATATCACAGAGACAGGCACACCGCGGCCTGACTACATAAACACAAAAAACCTCCGTCCGCAAGCGCTCTACTGCCGACGTGCCGTATATATACACGCCACCTTTCCCAAAACTGCACACGGCACGTGGAAAGCAGCGGACCAACCCTCACCATGGGGTGTACGGTCGACATATATGTGTATATGTATATACGTATGTCCACATATCGACCGCTGTGACCGACAAGAACACAAAAGAACACATGCGCGCGTACAGACGGACGTACGCATGTCCATGCTGGCCGGGTGCGCGTCATTCCATCCTTAGACGGAGACGAGGATTCCCTCTAGAAATTCCCTCTAGACGTGCGTTCACGGCTGTGTACGGTTGTATACGGTTGTATACGGCCATAAGAGCTTGCGCTGCGTCGAGGTTGTTGAATCTGAAGACGACAAATGTGTGCCGCACGGTTCCACCGTGTGCAGCACTAGACAACAGTAAAAAGTCAGAATGTCGACGAACAAAGAATAGGAGGAACTGTGCTGCTGGCAAACACACACACACACACATACACACGAACAGACATCTCCCTGAAATGTCAGCCAGGCTGACATATGCTGTCAAAGCCTGTGCGGTGCGTGCACACACGTGGCTTGTACGGCATCACTTCACAGGTCCCAGCCTTGCTAGCTGCCGGCTGCTGGGTGGCCAACAGTAGCTCATATCACCCTGCCACGACAAGTTATAACAGCTAAAAAAACACTTATAGATGTAATAACCAGGCTATGCCAAGCTAAAAGCTGTGCTAGAGCCCGGCAGCCATACATGGCACGACATACACCCTCGGGAGTCCTACCGCACCGCAGAGCACAGCCCGTACTAGGTCTATCGATCTAGCGATCCTGCTGCTCTTGTGCCTGCCGCCCAGCTAGCTGCTGCTGCTAATAACTCGTTCGGCTACTCGTTCAACTCCAGTGAAGTGAACTAGTAGGTGGTGAGGTAAGCGGGTAACTCCCGCCGCCCTTCCGCGCGGTTACTACACTACTACTACCCCCGAAGCTTCTTCTTCTTCACCCAGTGGGGCGCTGTGTCGTCCGAGTACCTGCAGCAGTGCGGTGCATGAACATAAACATACTTACATACATGCATACGTACATGCATGTATGCATGCATAACCTATTTGAAAACAAGCAAAGCACGCGCACGTACACATATATACCTGTAGTCGTAAGTGATTTCCGTGCCCGGTGCCAGGTTCTTATCCGCCAAGATGGCAATGCGGCTCTCCCCGTCCACGAGCAGCACCTTGGCCTTCGCGACAGGCTCCTCGCTGTGGTTGGCGCAGCGGAGCTTGTTGCCCCTGCAGGCAGGGGTATGTTGCGAGGGGAACATTCGGAACAAGCTCTCGGCAATAATAAAAAGATTTCAGTGTTTTTTTGGAAATAGTGTTTCTTCCACCGATACACACACAGCAGATGGATGCGTGTCATTACATGGGTAGCTGCTGTATGCAGCGGCACGAGCGCTAGCGGCGGGGGGGATGAAATGTGTAAAAAGAGAAAGGGATTGAAGGATGGCTGCTGCTGGGTGCGTGCGTGCACACGTGGGCACATATACATACATATGCGCCCTGAGGGGACCCCGTGGTCACAAAAGGGCAGAAAGGGAATCAACATAACACACGTCGTTGTCAGTGCAATTCCGATACTCTTTTAAGGTACTATTATCTTATCAGGCTGTGTGGCCACTCACTTTATACCACTGTGCATATCTAACCCTTTTCCCTTTTTAAGCCTATCTGGGCCGCACTCTCTGCCGACGGCATTTTCTCATGCTGCTGCTGCTGCTGCTACTGCTGTTGCTACTGCTAGTACTGCAAATTGCTTACCTGAATTTCGCGTCGACAACCCACTCGTTGTTCAGGTTGAACAGGTAGCTGCATGTGCCACCAGACAGGGAAGAAAATACATACATACATACATATATACAGCGAGGCGAGGATTTTGATAAGAGAGGCGTCGTGTCGCTGTCAATTAATATATTCCACAAACATCATCGCAATGTTTGCATGCGATGCAACAATGTCACAAATAAATGGGAGGACCACCAGACCTTACCGCGTGACCAGCGAGAATAAGTGTGTCACGTCCGTATGTCCGTATGTCCGTATGGATAAACAAGTTGGGCGACAGCAATGCGGCCCAACTTTATTCTATGTGTCGCAAAAAGGAGCCATATTGGGAAAGCGAGGGGATTCCACAACCCACAACCCACAACCCCCGGGGGGGGAAAGACGAACCACACGCGATTGAAGCTGCTGCCAGGGCAAGATAGTAGCAACCGAAAGAACTGACCGAAAGGCGTCCGTGGCGACTGTGACGACTGTAACCTCGAGATGACGACTGTAACCTCGGGACGAAGAATTGACGTAGATGTTGGAAGTCCTACCTACCTAAGCCGCCAGAAATATTATAGCCAAACCGTAAACTAGTAGGTGTAGAAAAAGTAGTGAAGGCGGCGAGAAAAAATGCGGCGAGAAAAAATGCTGACGTAAAAGAGGCGTAAAGTTGCTGGCCAGGAAAGAAAGCTGCATTGCTGATACTGAAAGGCTGCCGGTATGCAAGTGTTCCTCCCAACCCCCCAAAAAAACTAGAACGCGCGACTGACCCGACCGACCCAAACTAAACTATTCCGGCTAGCCTACCGACACCAACGCGAAATACCAAAGAAGCTCGAACCACCTTTTGGACTCACCTGGCCAGGCAGCAGGAGCAGCGGGTAAAGGCACATGCAAGGCAGAGAGGTTGGGGAATTTGTGAGCAGCGAAAGAAAAATACGAAAACGCATGCAAATGCTGCTGAAAAGGAGTATAAAACTAGCTGATCGGGGAAGCTGGAAACGAGAAGCCCTAAAGAACCTATATGAAAACGGAAGAAAACGCAGGAACTAAAAAATAATAATAGCAAAAGGCGGCGCAGGACGACACAGAAGGTGTCGTACGAGATGACCTAATGACGCATTGGACGGGATGACGCATTGGACGGCGTGTATGCCGGCAGAATGCAAAGAAGGGGGTTGGAAAGAACGCAAACGCGAACGTTCTTTCCAACGCAAAAGAAAAGCCAAGCCCAAGGGAGGAGAGGGAGTTGGTAGGAAGAGAAGCGCAAGTGCGCGGGCCGGGGCCACCCGTGGCTCCCGCCAACCTGCGCGCACTAGGGGCATGTGCATGCAGCCCCGTCGTGCCTAATACGTGGGGAGGGGAGGGGAGGACGTCAGGTTTGGGGGGGTTGAGGCGGGAGTGGGAGATAGGTAGCGGGAAGTGGAGGGGTTCGGCGTGAAAGGGAGCGGGAACTGGGTTGGGAGAAAGAGGGGAAGGAGCTGGAGATGGGGGAGGTGGCAAAGGAGGGAATTTAGGTATGGGAGGCAGGAGCTGGAGGTGGGTAAAGGGAAGAGGTGTGCTGATAGCGACAAGCGCGCAATACGGAGCAGGTAGAGCTAGTGCGAGAGAAGTGGGCAGTAAGGCGCGCGAGGGGAAAAAACAGCGTAGACAACTCCGTAAACAGGGACGGGATCACGGAGAAGAGGGGACGAGGGCATCGCGCACAGCTAAGCGGGAGGGGGAAGGTTTTCAAGTGGGAAGAAAAATGCAATGCAATAACAAAAGGGTAACAAAGAAGTGAGGCGGGTAACTCCCCCGGGGGGGGGGAGTTTGAACCCCGGTCCCCTCTTGTTTATTTTACCTGTTATTCATGAAGTCGTAGATGCTACCCCGCCGGTTGGCTTCGTCCTGTGTTCATTAGAGCACACACGGAAAGAAACAGCCGTAGCAGTAGCAGCAGCAGTAGCAGCAGCAGTAGCAGCAGCAGCAGTAGCAGGTGAAAGCCCTCAAGGGTATTCTATCTGCTTTGTGCGCCCTGTAGGCCTGAAACAACACTGTTGTGCAACAGGGTTTTCAATCCAGATCATCATCCCCATCTGCAACTGCAACTGCGTCGCCCGAGGCCTTACACCTCCGTCGTCAGCGCACCTCCACATATTGACTAGAAGCCTAACATCTTCAGCATCCGAGCAACACCCACACCCACACCCTCACCCACCCACCCACCCGCCTAGTCACCCTCACCCCCATCCACCCACCCCCCCACCTGTGTAATCAAGTCCCCGGTGTACTCCCCAGAGCCGTTCTTAGCCCGTACTGTGCCGTGAATAAGCCCCAACCAGCTCCTGCGGTTGGGGCGCCGGGGAGGTGCAAATTTGGCCGTGGCGACGCATCAGAAGATGAGATGCGCAGCCGAGGTAGGTGTGATGTGTGGGACAGGGGGGCCATATCTTCACCCGTGGCCGCTACCCGGCGAAACCCTGCCTTTCCCGGTATTTCGGGGCACCCTCGTCTAGTCACCCTAGTCACAACTTCTCAGTGGATCGCAATGGTCCGCGCCTTACCAGTAGTGCCTAATCTGAGTCTATAGAAGTAAGTAGCCATAATGATACATTACTAAAATATATACGATAATGGTGAATTCTCGAAGTACAAGGCACACACGCACACACACACAAACACACCTCCCACCTGCTCCCCCCCCCCGCACTCCTCTCCCCGGCCCGCTTCTCTTCCTACCAACTGCCTCTCCTCCCTTTGGCATCAGCCAGCTTCACTCGCTCGTGGTTCGTCTCCCCCTCCCCCCCCCCCCGTCGCCGCACCCACCAGGGATGTCCGAGGTACCCAGCACTACGCGGGCGTGTTGCCGCATGCGCAGCCGCATGTTGTGGCACTCGCGGCCCGGCTCCGCCCCGCACTCCAGGGTGGTCGCACAGCCGCCGCACAGGTCCGGGTCGCACTCGCGGCCCGCAGCCCAGCAGGGGCACATGTTGGTCCTGCAGCCGGACTTGCATGTGCAGCCACGGAACCTGGTCCACATCGAACATACATAACGATACACATATAGCTGGCTAGCTGGCTGTAGATAGATAGATTAGATAGATAGATTAGATAGATAGATTAGATAGATAGATTAGATAGATAGATAGATAGATAGATCCATCCATCCATCCATAGGTAGGTTAGGTACTTGCATGCGCACTAGGCGGCACTCGAAAGCCTCACAGGGTCGCAGCCACCCCCCCCCCCAGCACCCTCACGCTCCCAGCTCTCTCGGGAGACTCACCTCTCCCGGCAGGAAGTGCTGCAGCCACAGAACTTCTCACAGAAGTTGCGGACGCGCACGCAGGAGCAGTCGGCCTTGCACTGGCCCACGCAGGTGCAGGGCTGGTACTCGTGCCAGTCGCTGTTGCCGCCCTGTTGTGCGCGCGAGCTGGCAACCAGCGAGCGAGCGTACTTGTTGTTGTTGGTCAGGACGGTCTGAAAACCACCGGGGTAAGTGTTTCGGTGAGGCGACAGGAGAGGAGGGGAGGGGAGATATGAGTGGCGAGGCGAGGCGAGGAGAGGAGAGAGGGGGAGAGGAGGGAAGAAACAAGGTAGGTAGGTAGGTAGATAGGTAGGTAGGTAGGTAGGTAGGTAGGTGTGTACAGCTCCTCACGCACTCTTCACTGCATCATCATGTACATAATCGCTGTGTACTGCATCATCACGTGTACCTTCCTCGCTCGGCCACCCTTACGGCGTGCAGCTGGCTGGTGCTCCACCCGGCCGCTGTTGAGGTCGCCGTTGAGGGCATCACCGCCGCCGCCAGTACCAGTACCGCCTTCCCCGTCGCCGCCGCCGCTGCCGCCACCGTTAGCCCCCAGCGGCGCAGCCCCGCCACCGCCGCCGCCACCGCCACCGGCAGCGGCGGCCTCCGGACCGGCAGCAGCAGGATCATCATCATCAGCCACAGCCGCTGCTCCTGCAGTATCAGCGGCAGCTGCTGTTGCTGCCGTCGGCATCCACGTCGTGGCAGCTGCCAAACCATTTGCCGCTGCTACCTCTTCCGCTTCCGCTGCTGCTGCTGGCTGGCCGCCGCCGCCGCCGCCGCCACCGCCGCCGCCGCCGCCGCTGCCGCCGCCGCCGTCTCGGTGTCCAAGGTGAAGTTGCTCCATGGCCAGCTTCACAGCGGCGCACGTGTGTATGGCCGTGTTGCCCAGCAGCCGGGTGACCAGGCAGGGGTTACCCATGCCAAAGACCTACGCACGCAAGTGTACGGCGGAATACACCTTCAGCCCCCTCTCTCCTTGCCTGACTGGCTCGCCGACTTTACTTGGAGGGCCCCCAAAAAGGTTCGTATGTATGTATGTATGTATGTATGTATGTATGTATGTATGTATGTGCTCCCCTTACGACTTCGATGTAGGGTAGCGCAACTCCAGCAGGTATGTAACACACATGAAAACATACATACAGGCATACACACATGCATACACAGTCCGACTCAAGACGACCCACGTCAGCTGGATTATCCAACGCGCGTACGACACACAAACGTCAACGTGGTATGGAGCCTTGAGGATGATAATTATAATAATCTCATCCCTAATTATTTATTTTGCACATTTTCATTCGGAACACATCCGGTTCGCAAAAGTCCGCAACTGCCTGTCTATCCGCCCTACCTAACCACCTACATAACTACCTACCTAAACTACCCACCCACCAACATACATACACACATACATACCTGAATTCCTTGCCTCACAAGGGACATATCGTACGGGCTAAAAGAGCATGATGGGCTGTCGTCCCTGTCGTCATCACCGCCGCCGTCGCCGCCACCCAGGTGTCCCGCCCTCCGGAGATGTCCTAGCTGCTGCGGCCCCTGCGGGCCCCGTGCCGCGACTTGATGAGCAGCAGCAGCCGCAGCCGCAGCCGCAGCAGCAGCCGCAGCAGCAGCAGCTGAGCCGGCACCTCCACCACCACCCCCAGCCCCGTCACCCGCACCCACATCCGCATCCATTATCATCGCCGTCGTGTCGTCCACACCTCCATCCGCCGCCTCAGCTGCCCGCGGCCCACCACCACCACCACCACCACCACCACCACCACCAGCAGTAGTAGTAGTAGGGGGTCCTCGGAAGCCGCCAGTCGAAACCCTCAGTGGCGGCACCCTCGCGGCCAGGCGCCAGCAGCCAGGGCTGCAGGGCAGCTCGCTGGCGCCCCGCGGAGGGGGACGAGGGGGAGCTGGACGGTGATGGGGTTTGACGTGGCCGCCGCCTACCTCACATACACACGCACACATACACACGCACACATACATACGCACATACACATACATACACACGCACACAAACAAAAAAACACGCACACATACACACGCACACATACACACGCCCATACACACACACGCACACATACACACGCACACATACACACAGACACGCACACATACACACGCACACATACACACAGACACGCACACATACACACGCACACAAAAAACACGCCATGGGCAGGTCATCCAAAGTGGTCACCCGGCCAGCCGCGTAGATCCGGAGGGGGGGAGGGGGATCAGAGAGGGGGAGTGAGCACTCGGGGGGCGGGGGGGTAACAACACGAACCACTGACGACGATCGAAGCAGACACCAGCAATAGCAGCCGGGAGGTTTACTGTATGCACTTTCCGGGTGCATAGCATGGCCGTACATATTCCCGTACACATGGAAAAGCACGCACACAGCCGATTTTTGACTGATTTTCGAATCGGCATGTGTGAGCGCGTAGGCGGCCCTGGTGGTGATGAAGGCCCTCGCGAGTGCTAGGGCTAGGTGGGCACCCTATATATAGGAGATTGCGGTTGCTAACCCCGGGAACGAGGCGGCGCGGGGGGGGGGGGTAACCCAGGCGGCGACTGCACTAACGGCCAACTAAGGAGTGCAGCTTGCAGCAGCACTGGCGGCACCAAGCAGCAGCTACTCGCAGCAGCAGCAGGAAGGAGGAGGCACGGGAGGCAACGTTTGGACAAATAGAGGAGAGTAGACAGGTTTTTACTTACGGTACTTACTTACCGTGTGTACGGCAGCCGTAGATACGGCAGCGTCGGCAGAAGCCCCCGGTAAACGCGTCCAGCACCTCCTCCACCTATCATGTTTGTATGCATGTACGTATGTACGTACGCATGTATGTATGTATATGTCACCAAGGGAGCAGGAAAACACAGGCAGGACGGGACACGCGAAGAGGCCATTGTTTGCTGGCAAGATGAGTAAAACCTTGGTGATGTAAATCACCTTTCCGACCTTTGCCGGCATGCATGTCCCGTATAGTGGCCAGCTTGTTAAGAGAGCCCCTTCCAATTCCCGGTCCAATGAAATCATGAAAAGCAAATGATTCACCGGCCGAGCAGGGCAAAGCAACCCCGCCCCACCAACCCCGCATGCCCGCCCGGCTATCCTAGCTGTAAGCATCAAGGCATGCGCACCCATCGACTTCACCCACACACATATCCACAAACCGCAACCCCCCCACACACCGCACACCTCGATGCCCTCCCGGTCCTCATCCACCAATCTGGGACGTTGCAGGTAGGCGAGCCGCTGAGCAACGGCCTCCCGCTCCGGCTTCGGCCGCAGGACCTCCGTCAACGCCTACACACAACACCAAGCTCCAGGCCGTTAGTTGGTTGGTTGGTTGGTGAGTTAGTTGGAGGATTCCCCAACATCCACGTTGGGAATTTAATAATAACAATAACATTATGAAACGGATAACACCGGAGGTAGTGTGGCTATTATACTATTCTTATTAGGACTATATTTACGTAATTTTAGGACGCAGCGGCAGAAATAGGAAGAGCGAGCAGCAGGAAATCACAATAATATTTAACATTTAATACTTAACATAATTAACATTTAGTAAATAAATAAACATTTAACATTTAATATTTAATATAATTAATTAAACTGTAAACTATTTAGGCAACATGCATGCATCCATCGGCAACCCACTATTACTATTACTACCCCTACTCCTACTCCTACCACCAGCAGCAGCACTACCAGCAGCGCCACAGGGCACCAGCAGGCGCCTGGAGACATCGCACCAGCATGCCAAATGCATGATGTACATACATACATACATGTGTACGTACATCCGTCCAGTCACCCACTGCCGTACGCACCTCCAGGACATTTGGATCTTCCCAGCCGTACTCCTCGGCTAGTCGGCTCATGGACCAGTCCACGGCGGCCCCGTCAATATCCTCCCAGGGTAGACGCTGCGCATGTATGTATGTATGTATGTATGTATGTATGTATGACGTTGATTACACTGTGGGCTGAAAAGCCGGGGGCCCAGGGCCGAAGCACAGCGCGAGGGGCGGGTGCATACGGCTGGTTAGTCTCATGCACTCCGCCCCCGGGTCAGGCCGCACGGGAAACGACGGCCGGCACGCAACAGCGCTTGTTTGGCGCTCCAACTAGACGGGATCTATGCCCGTTGGTCTCCTAACATAAACGAAGTCGCAACTGGGGGGCTCTTCCTGCCGACCGAACGAACCGAGCATCTTAGAGAGCTCGCAACCAGGACCTGGGCGACCGGGAGCCCGACGAGTCATCCCGGGCTGGGGAGGTCACCAAGCTCAAAAATCCTCATGCAAAAAAAGAGCGCAAAGAGCTCACACCACAAGACGCCAAACAGCCTCCTGAGACTACTACCCTCCTCATGTATGTATGTATGCATGTATGCACCCAGGATAATACAGAAGGCATGGAAGGTATCTATCGATGTACCATCGATGTACACACATAATGCATATCGACTGCACACACACACATACATACACACCACTGGGCGGGAAATGAAAGGAAGAGCATACACACGCTACATACATACAGATCATACGGGTCATCCAGCCGAGGCCCAAACCCCGTGGCCCAATCCTCTTCCTCCTCCTCCTCGCCAAGCAAGCACCAGAGGCAGACAGAGGGACAGACAGACAGGCAGACAGACAGACGGACAGATTTCCGCGCTACCCTGCCTACCTCCTCCGTCTCGCCATCGTCTGCAGGCACCGTCTCCCCAACATCGTCAACCAGGAACATGCGCCGGCCGTGGTCCCGTGCCAACTCGTTTCGCTTCAAGTACGACCACGTGGTGTACGACGGCGGCTTTACATACATTACATACATACATATACGTACATACATACATCACAGAGCACAGAGTGCATTACATAGCAGTTGGACGGGGGAGTTGAAAGGGGGCGGAGGTTGGGAGGCAGGCAGAGTGAGTCAGCAGGAGAGACGCGAGGAAGCTCAGGCCTAGGTGATGAGCGGGTGCGTGCGTTAACAAAGTCGAATTCTAATTCTTAATCAAGGACTACAAGCGCAGGAAGTATCTATCTATCTATCTATCTATCTATCTATCTATCTATCTATCTATCTGGCTAAATGGTGCCGCAATGGGCACCACCACCTTGACACACCACATTGGCGGCTCCTCGCTCTCGCTCGCTCTCACCCACCGGTTGCACTGCGGGCAGTACGACTATGCGGGAGCGCAAGGGTTGGGCGCTGCCTGAAGACTTGACGACCGACCGTCGGTCGGAAAGAGGGAGCGGGAGCGGGTTGGAACGCGGCGGATGATGTGCTGCTGCTGCTGCTGCTGGCGATGTGGCTGTGGCTGCTGCTGCTGCTGCTGCTGCTGCCGGTTCCGAGTTCGACCCCGCCGGCATGTCTGTGTGTGCATGTAAGCGATGACGACACAACTTTATAGACCCAGATAGACATATACAGATAGATAGATGAACGTAAGAATAAACAGGTAAATAGATAGTTAGATAGCTAGATAGTTAGATGTATAAGGAGGTGGATTCATGTCGTTGCCATCCCATCCCCACGTTGGCAGCCAACCCCCCCAACAGCAGTCAAATCACAATCAAGGACATCTTATTTGCAACAGGACGGAGCAGCAGCAGCTGCAGCAGAGAGCAGGCGGAAAGGTGGAATTGATACAGCAGTGATGGTGCGTAAGTCCCCGGGGGGAAAGGTGGCGGGTGGAACGTGAAACATGCGACAGTCGTCATCGTCGTCGTCATCGTCGTCAGTTACCGGTTATCGTTAGATTTCGTTGCTCGTCATCGTCATCACATTTCCGCCGTTTGTAACGGGGGGATGCATTCCTCGTTTGGTGTTACATATGCTACTACTAAGTATTACTTGCAATGACGTCAGGCGTCTGACACGTCCTGCAGGACATGCCATGCATGTGTCCACAGCTGTGTGCATGACGCGCAGCAGGGCTATATGCCTAGCCAAACATGGTACGATTGTGCACGCTTATTCTCGATACATACATACATGCATGCATGCATGCATACATACATACATACATACATACATACATACATACATACAGCCGGGCGGGTTAATACGCGTGTATGTATGTCACGTATACGCCCCCATGTATTAGGCGTATTCAACCATAAAATGGACGAGTGAGCGGCAAAAAATATTCTTTTGGCGTCTCACCGGTCTGGACGTCTCCGAATTTGGGAATAGGAAGGGCACTTCGTGTGCGACCTTCTGCATTGCGCAGGCGGTACGACACGTAGGAAGATATGGCGGCCTGCCGCACACAAGGTAGTAAAGAAAATACCAAATCGGAACAGGGCAGTTTGGTAAGTTAGTGCAGTGCGCAAATCATGAAGTTACACTCTTGACGATGATACGATGGAGGGGTGGGAAACATGTTGTAGTCTGCTGTAGCACTGTCGGTTAAATCCTAACAGCGCGCGGGCTTTTTTTCAGCATCGCGTCCCCACTCCCTTCGGAAGAGACGTGGAGTTGCGCGCGATGTGGGAGGACATAATCACGGCATTCACCTTGTTCGCCGCGAGCAGGTTTGCGGCCTTGACGCGCTGGAGCACGAGAAACTCCTTTTTCAAAGCACGAAATCTCTTGACCAACTCGGTCTGCCGGAGTTGGTCTGCCGGACGACCTTGCGGTAAACAGAAGAGACAGTCAAAGGTTATAGCTTCTAAGGAAGGATTTGCTAGCCTAATAAGCTAATTAGTGTTGCCTTCTGTCCGACTTGAGCTTCGCGCCAGGATTGATGCAAGGCATCCGGTTCATTATTGTATTCAACATATGTCGTTAAGTTCATAATTATATTATATTGCAGCCCTCAGCAAATCCCACGCTAACCTTGGCCGGCGTCCTTCCGGCTTCTTTGCAATGGCCCTCGCTTTGCAAAATCATCATCCATATTTGGAACTGTACTTAGACTTGATAGTTCGACCCGACCGAACCGTTACAAGGTTGATTTCGTCTGCTAGTTACAGCAAAACGCTGCTGCCGAAGGGGAGTACTCTGTAAATCTAGCTATGTTACTCAGAAACTTAACTTCCTCGATTTACCAGAAGCTCATAAATTATGGTTATAATTTGCCGTGTGTGCACCTATCATGTCAGCGGCATGCACCCGGCATCCTCCGGTTACGGCATGGACGAGCCACGAGCAGCGTCCAACAGAGCCGAGACCCCATACCTGGCAAGCGCCGGCCCTGAAGTCGCCCTCCTGCTCCAGCTTTTATTCTTCATGCATTCATACGCAACACTATCTTCTACGGATGGAGTAAGCAAGTCTCAATTGGGTCACATCTGTGATATACGTGTACAACTCCATGCGCACATCTCAGCCGACATGTAATGCAGTGGATAAATAGGTAAGTGGATATATGCATCCATGCATTCCTACAGATGCCGTCCTTATGGCAGCAAATGCATTGCAGCAGACGCAAAGGTGCTCGACCTAGATAGATATACACCTAACAGGTAATCCCCATCTCCACCCCCTTATGCAAATAAAACGTTGTCAATTGGTTTGCAGACTGCTGTTGTGTTGCAGCAGACTGCTGTTGTAACAATCTATCCTCAGCCTATAGGCTGGGGATCGATTGCCGTACGTGCCGTACAACTGACGGACCGGCCCGGGACACGCTGGTGAGTAGAAGTAGTGTTGTGTTTCCCCCGGCCCCGCCCCGCCCTGGCCTCTGTTGACGGTTCGTTCTTCCACGTACGACGCCAGGTACAGGGGTCATTAAAAGGATTATTATGAGCCAGCTGCCACTGCCGCCCATGATGATCCCAGGTGTTTCCCACGCATCGAAGACGCCCCATCCCGGAGCGTCCAACAAACTATTTGCCTAATGGTGTACAATAATAGAAGCAGCGCCTAAATTTAAATGTTGTTATTTTATTGTTAAAGTCGGTGGTGTCACCGCTGCCGCGGAGATGCTTGAGTTGCGTTATGAACAAAGAATAACGGCCAAGATAAAAAATCCCGGATGTATCTCGATCTCGCACAGGAGTCGCCTGTATGTATATGCAGCCATTAGTAGGCCTATAGCCGCAAATCCTAAAGAGGGTTGTTAATGGTGACCTGGGGTACGTGCGTGACTGTCTGTCTATCTGTGTGCTGCTGAGGCAGGGCGGCGGCGGGCGGGTTTGAAGCATGAAATAAAGTAGTACATAATAATGAGAATAATGTCCATCTACGCTTACTATTGGCCAAGCAACCTTTGCACCGTCTTCACCGTTGCAGATCGAATGGCGGCAGCAGTCATAATTTGAAATGGTCGAAATAAAACAATTGTGGCCCAAACAACTAAGACGCCTGGAAACTTGCAACAATTATATACGCGACGTTGTACATATTTTTTAGTTGTTAAGACACTGTAGGATAGCTTAAGTCGCAACAAAACAAATGCCTTGATATGACTCTGCGGAGACCGGCTTCCGGATCGGATCGGGTCGCGATGCTCAATTTGGTTTGACAAAAGAAAAGCCCAAAAGGGTATTTATAAATGAACACAGAGCGCATCAGCATTGCAATCGTTGCCATGCTTGCCTGCCACCGCCGCCCCGTGGATGCATGTCGGCCCACTAGCCACATGCGCACACTCGTATATATACACATAGCTACAAATTGTAGCTACACACACATATATATAGGCGGCTAGCGCTAAGCAAGAACCTCAAAGGACTCTGATACGGCCTTCATTAGATCCTGGACTTGACTAAATGCCAGGTACCGATATCTTGTGGTTGTTAGACGCATCGTGTACTGCCACCCCTGCAGCAGGGGACAAACGCAAATCTGCATGTCGTATGTGTCACAACGCAAAGAGGTGAAATGCACAGCATGTCGACATGTGTACATACATACATACAGGCAGGCAGGTGGCTGGCAGGAGTTAAGGCCTGACTTCTGCTCCCGGAGTGTCCGGGTTCACATCCGCCTGCCGACTCCTCGGGTGTTTGAGGGGTGTTGGATTGGGAGGTGGGCCCCCATCTTGTGGACGGTGTAGGACGTGGTTATACCAACTTGCGAGCTGACCAGGAACTAAGTTGTGGCGCCGTTGATCCGCTAGATTTCGTTGAATGCTGGTGGTAAGTTGCTGAACCCAACGAATACATTCTGAAGTCGGATGAGGTAAATGGATTAGGGTGCCCCTCTAGTAGGGGAGAGCAGGGACTGGCCCGGGAAAGGGGGCCGCTGGCGAAGTTAACCACCCTGTAACAACATACATACATACCTCAGCAATGGTGATTGCTCGAAACTCCCTCGCTGCTCTGCAAGTGCGAGGTACACGTGGCAATTGAGGGAGTGAGGGAAGGGCCAAGCAAGCAAACGCACAAATGTATGTATGTCGGCATTCGTAACAACAAATTGTGATTAATCATGACTTTACAAGCACATCCATCCCGAGGCTAGGCTGTTAGCCTGACCATCACCCGACAGCAACAGCAACACAACATTTGCGTACAGGTGTGTGCTACATTAGGGTTAGGCACTCCTGGTAACACGCGACCATTGCCCCCGGGAGATCTTGGTACATCATGTTGTACATGTTGCGAGGCAGCTGCAGGGTGAGCTCCAGCAGCGGCATGGGAACATACAATATCTAAAGAAAAGAAACCCCAAAGAAGTAAACAGCGGGCGGGGTGCAGGTGCGGGTGCAGGTATGCAGGTGCATAATGGGAACGACCAAGTGACGGGCCCGGGCAGGCGATGCACGCAGACGACCCAGCCACCGACCGCATCTCTGGTTGGCTTGCATCCACCATGTGATGGTTATTATCTTGGCATGTGCATGTACATGTACGTGCCAATTTGATAATAACCATCACCAACGCATCCAACACCATCCAACGCAAGGGCAGGTAGCAATGTCGTCACACATAAGTATGTATGTATATATGTGTGTGTCACACACTGCTCCCAATCACGTTATGCAGCCACGTAGAGAAGATGGATGGATGGGTGGATGGGCAGCAGACATACATACATACATACATACTCACGCACCCAAACATTCCCGCGGTGTTGCCCCCAAACTGGACATGTACGATGATGTAATCTCTGTCGCCATCGTCGCCGCCATGCTTCACGTTGCGGGCCTCAATAACGAGCCCATTGGGTGCGACGCCAGCCAGGCCTGCAGCTACTTCCTGCGGTAGGTGTGCACGCGGGCATGTGGGCATGCATGTGTATGATACCGCCGCACGGTAGGTACCACCAGGCAAGTGTGTATTGGACTGAGTCACTCGATCGTCACAAAACAATCTCACAACTTCGTGGTGACTTGGTCAAGTAGAATTAAAAAACGTTATTAGTTATTAAAACAAATGCAAACTATCATTAAAAACAAGAGATTTCTTCTTGTTCTCGTTTCTTGTTCGCTCGGGGGCTTGCTTAATAGAAAGGCGTGCCCTTGGATGGATGTGATACATATATGAGCATGAAGGTAGTTATACATTGCCGATATTACCAGAAGTGCGAGAAGGATGTAGACAAACAACCATATCAGCGCCGCGGTGCTGGAAATGGCGGCACCAGGCACCGAACAGACCGGGCTTAGTCCACATCAGCAGGTCACACACACACACACACACACACACACTCACACACACGCCAGCTGCATCTGGTCCGTAAAATATATAACCCAGTTCGAATGCTGGTCTTGCATCGGACTTACATAAGACTCAATCGACTATAAAATGAATAAACCGTACTTCATTTCAGCGGGTAGAGCAGTTGAAACACCAACATGAAGTCACGACTCGATCGAGGTATGTACGTACGTACGTACATACATACATACATACATGCGTACATATATACATGCACGGTTAGGTTTAGCGGGAGGAAATCCTCAGGTGGCAGGAAACTCGCCTGTACCGAGCCCAGCTGCTGTGTTGCTTGCACACCCGCCGGTGCCGGTGCCCGGTACACGGCCAACGTCTCCGCACCGGGCTCCTCGGGGTTGTAGAAGCTGGCTAGGACCGCTGCACGGCCGCGTGTGTGGTTCGCAGCAGCATAGCAGCAGCAACAGCATAGCAGCAGCAGCAAGTAGAATATCTTCATACGCATTCCTATATAAGGATAATGCAACGAGGTTGGAACTGCACTCCAAACCCATCCGGGCGTGATGAGAGCCCCGGGAGAATGTGGACGGCACTGGCAGCGGGGCGGGCGGCGGCATAGACAGCATGGGTGCATGATACAGCTTTGCTGCATTATTACACACATACATACATACACACATAGATACACATACACACACACATACACACGGGCGGAAGTCAGAACGAACGAAGGGAGGCGCGAGCCAGCACACACATGCACACGGATATGTCTGCACGTGGCACCATGCAACATGAGTTGTTGCTCTCCGCAGTCCGCAGTCCACTCCAGGCTGCAAAGAAATTCGCCATGAACGTACATGCAGTACGTATACCCGCAGTACACCCAATGGGTATTACCCATGCACGTGGCATGCAAGGTAAAGGCGGCAGGTTGAGATACAACAAGCGATGCATCCAGCAAGTTAAAACAAAGGAGGTAATAAAGAACACATACAGACATACAGACATACAAACATGCCGGTACTCACATGACTCGGGCAGCAGTGTCGAGACCCTGATCCAGCCACAGGGGCGGACCAGGCGGAACCGCCCCGCAGGGTCAGTGTACGGCACCACCGCGGGTACGGAAGCCGCCGCCGGCACGGTTGCAACCGCTCCTCCTCCATCACTCTCATCACCTGCTGCTGCTGACGCAAGCAAGCAATCGTATCAGACCCTGCTGCTCATGCAGCAGCGCGCAACCCTACCATTTGTCAGGAATTGAACACACGCACTACTCAATAAACGCTGTGCTGATGCATGTTGTACGAATAGAACGTACGGCGTCATTTATTGCGTTATGTACGGATACGGATACGTACTTGTCGCGGATGGTGATGAGCCGCACGTCTTCGGAAGTGCTCCGCTCTCAGCCATCCTGCGGGCGTAATAATTGATTAATGGCAAATTATTACGTTTACTCGTAAATCCACCGCTGTACAAAAATTGAGAGGCAATCGCAGGACCTGTACGTTGCATGTGAGTGGATGTGTGTGTAATAAATAATATTCAGCAGTCGCGGGATGGACAACATAGTACGTAACTGCCGCTGCTCCTGCCGCTGCTCCTGCCGCTGCTGCTGCTGCTGCTGCTCCTGCTGCTGCAGCTGCTCGTTGATATCCAACTTACTTTCTTTAGTGTTTAGTTTACAGTATTTACATGTATATGCTTAGTACAGCAAGGCGTTTGGGGCAACTTCACAAGCAAGTACCAGATTTAGAGCACGCATGCCAAGCTGTCTATCTGTCCGAACAAGTTTGATCCTGCGTTGATGCAGCGCTATACAACAACGCAAAGACTCTTCCACATGAAGCCCCAGTTCCCATTCCACGCTTACACGGTCGATCCGAAAGGAAGCCCCAGTACAACAGCAGAGCACGCCAATGTGGCTGCGCATGCAGCAATTCGTCGCCGGCTCACGTTTAGGGAGTGCCGTGCCATACGCCATGTGGCTGCGGACTCCTGATCTTGATCGCCCTGGAACAGCGGAACGTCTGCTGGCAGCGCTGGGAGGGATGTGCTTCGGTCATCACAGCAACTTGACCAGCAGCGGTTGGCCCCACGGCCGCCTGTTGCCGCGATATTGCAGCCACGTAAGAGTACATGTAAGAGTACGAACATCTACAGATTCATATAAAAATTATAAGTCAGCTTACGCCGGTGAGACCGAGGCTCTGAGACGTTCCATCGACAAAGGCCAACCGAACCGGTAACCTTCAACGATTTCAAGTGTAAGCTTGGTGATAACAGCATCCCAGAAGGTGGTGATTCGATCAGCGGTGAGATATGAGTCACTCGGTGGACAACTAAACAGCAGTGAGCAGCCATTTTTTTGATTAAGTAAGTCGTAAGATCTCAGTTACAGTATGATTCTCTTCGTGTCATCACAGTCGAATTTGCTTTACTGCGTGTCAGGGTATAGCCACTACGCCAACCCTGAGTTCCGGGTGCCTAATGCAGTACAACGCCTTGTCGTTTGTGATTTTGCACCACAGCCGCAACTTGTCAGCATCACACATGAATGTAAACACGTCTTAAAGGCTGCCCTATTTTTCTATCGAAGAGCTGCGGGCAAGCTATCCAGCGAATTAGCTCCGGAACCCTTTCAGCCCGGGCGGCAAAAAGGAAACCCTCCTGTCATTATACGCTTTCCTCGTTTCTGTAATACTTTATGGTCTACAGGCAAAACTGGCCTTCATGCAATTATCCACATTTCCTAATAAGGCGACCGACGGCTTTGAACAACCTTCCCAACCACTCAGTCTTCCGACTTAGCTCGCACCCGATATCCCGGCGTAAATCTCTCCTAGCATCCTCAAGTACTGCAAACATGTCGACAGGCGCGAAGCCCAAACGGGCAAAGACCATCGACGCTTTCTTCACCCCGAAGCAGCCACAGAAGCAAGCAGTTGTGGGAATCGCGCCTCCGGTGAGCCGAATCCACCAAGCTCGGTATCCAGCAACCCATCCATTTCAACAACTTCCATCAACAACACACACTCAACCTCACATCGTGCACCTCGCTTCCGCTTCCCCAACCCAGCAGCTCCCAGACGTCGTCGCAGCGCGCTGTATCATGGAAGTCGCCGGCGACAAAGCTGAGAGCAGCAAAGACTCCATCCCCCTCCAGGAGCAACATCAACCCCACACCGGCTCCACAACAGCTCCAAAAGCAGCGGTCCCAACAGCGGCAGGTTACCCCGCCACGCAGCAGCTACAGGTCCCGGAACCCCCTGGCCCCACGGCGGCCGCCGCGTCTGCCGGCGAACAGGACCCCCCCGCTGTCCCCCCTCCTCCCCCTCAGAGCCCCTTTCAGAGTAATACTGAGAGAAGTAGAATGGTTGGCCGCAAACGGCGCAGTCGCTCGGCGGACGGGGGCTGCTCGGCGGACGGGGGCTGCTTGACGGCAGCAACAGCACGGGAAGAGGGTGAGAGAGAGAGAAAAAGAGCGAAGGCGGTGTGTGTGTGTGTCACATGTGTGTCATGTGTACGGATGGCAGGTAGAGGCATTTGACAAATGACCAGGGGGGCCTGGCAAGCAACGAGCTAGTAAGGGAGCTAGTAAGGACTGCTAACAGTCCAGCAGCCCAACAACCCCCATTGGGAGATGTAGCTGGCACAATGGGGTTGGGGGGGAGATAGGGAGGAAGTGCCGTAAGGGACAGGGTGAGCTCCAGCAGCGGTCAAACGCGGCTGGCAAGAGAGCTAGCTAGAGGGAACTGCCATAGGAGAGGTGTATGGCTACTACCCTATACTAATGTGAGCTGTCGTTATACTAATGTTCACCTGCAACCATTGCCAATGCCCCTCATTGTCAACATCCCTCGCTACTGGCCGCTCGGATGCGAACCGGAGGACATACAGACGGACAACCGTCAACGTCGGGGGTTCCGGGTACGGCGGCGCCCGGGGGAGGTGGGGCGGCAGTAGCAGCACCCGGAGGAGGAGGAGGAGGGGGAGGGGGGACGGGGGGAGGGACGAAAGAAGGTGATGCGGCCTGTGCCAGTGTAGGAGCGGCAGCAGCGGCTGATGGTGGCGATGGCTTGACGCCGGCACAGCGTGCGCAGGTTCGTACGCGTGCCTGTGTATGTGTGTGTGTGTCTGTATGTGTGTTCGTCCGTCATTATTTTGAAAGGCTACATTGCACCGTCCGGTTCCGGTTTTCCTTCCCCCCCCCCTTTTCACTCCTCCCGCCTTCCCACGGTCGCCGCCATCACACACGGGGGGAAGCTGACACACACACGCGCGCGCGCGCGCGTGCTCGGCTTGACCCTGGACTCGGCCCCGTGCGCCTTGGGCTGCTTTTTGGACGTGTCAACAGTTTGACCTCCTTTTAATATTTTCACCACCATCACCACCACGATCATCATCATCATCATCATTATCATCACCACCACCACCATCACTACCATCGTTATATATTATTGCCCCCCTTCCCCTCCGCCAACACCACCACTGATCGCCACCACCACCTCCACCGCCACCACCGTCAGATCGCGGCCAACCGCAACCGTGCACTGGCACGTCGTGTCCTGGCGGAGTCCTCGGCTCCAGGGGGCCCCAAGCTGCAGCTCTCAGCGCTGCTGGTCGAGCCGGGATGGAGGAGCGCCCTCGCGGGGGAGCTGGCGGGAGCCAACCTCCGGCAGCTAGACTCGTTCCTGGGGGCCGAGTGGGCACCGGGCAGGAAGCCGGTCTTCCCGCCGAAGGATTGCATCTTTCAGGCCTTCAACGCCTGCCCGTTTTACCAGGTATGCGTCGCAATATATGATGGGTTGATTGGTTGGGTGGGTGGGTAGTTATTGGCTGTTGTTACGGTACGTCATATCCGTGTTACTTCATTGTCTGTCTATCTATCTGTCTATCTATCTGTCTATCTATCTGTCTATCTATCTATCTGTCTATCTATCTGTCTATCTATCTCTTCAGTCCCATTTTGCCTCTGCGCCCGTCACAAGTAAAACCCAAAACCGCGTCCCCCTAGCCTCTACCCCCCCCCCGGTAAGTACCCCTCCACCCATCCCCATCTTCGCCACCGTTGTCTGCAGTTGATATTCCCCTCCCCTTCCTCCTCCCCTCACCCTCCTCTTCCCCTCACCCCTTAATCTCCCCTCACCCTTCCCCGCCTACCACCCACCCCCACACTCACACACACCGTCATTAACTTCCTTATAACCGCCAAACCGCAACCCCCCTGACCTGATGACCAGGTTCGTGTGGTGATCCTGGGTCAGGACCCCTACCACGGCCCGGGCCAGGCTATGGGCCTGGCCTTCAGCGTGCCCCGGGATGTGCGGCCCCTGCCGCCCTCCCTCGTCAACATCTACAAGGAGGCGGCCGCGGACCTGGGCTGGGGGGACCGCCCGGCGCACGGAGACCTGTCCGCGTGGAGTGTGCAGGGTGCGTCGTTTCCTCCCCGTGATCTGATCTGATCACGGTGATGGTGGTGGTGGTAGGAGGTAGAGGGGGAGGAGGTAGTGGGGGGAGGTAGTGTGGGGGGGGATTGAGGTTGGGGGTTGGGGGGCTGAGGAGGTGGGGTTGGGGGGAAAGACGAACCACGAACGAGTGAAAAGCTGCTGCCAGGGCAAGAGTGGGGGTTGGGGGGGGTGAGGAGGTGGGGTTGGGGGGGGGTGAGGATACCGGTAGTGGCTGCTACACGGCTGTGTTCGACCGGCTACTGGCTACTGGTTCTGGACAGAGACCAACTTTAGCCAAACAGCTGAAGCCAAACTACCCGTGAAAGGTAATCAAGTCGGCGGGAAAGAGGCGGCCAACGAAACATGTGCTGGCTGGCTGGCTGCACAGTAGCAGCAACACGTCCATCCATTTCCTACTTTACCGTACTGTACGGCATGTACTACTAAGGCTACTATTAAGGGTAATCTAGAGTAAGGGATGGATAGATCTAGTATGCCCGAATGTTGAGACGGATGTATATATAAGTTATGACGACCACGACCGCCATCGCGCAGGTGTACTGCTGCTCAACACGTGCCTGACCGTACGACAAGGCGAGGCCAACAGTCACGCCAAACGCGGCTGGGAGCAGTTCACGGACGCCGCCATCAGGGCGCTAAGCGAGCGCCGCAGCGGTATCGTCTTCCTGTTGTGGGGCAACCCCGCCCAGGCCAAAGCGAGCCTGGTGAACACGTGGGTCGCCCTAAAACCCCTTTCCCTCCCCTCTCTCCCCGCCGCCTTTGCTATTGTTTTTTAGTTCCTGCGTTTTCTTCCGTTTTCATATAGGTTCTTTAAGGGTTTTCGTTTCCAGCTTCCCCGATCAGCAAGTTTAATACTCCTTTTCAGCAGCATTTGCATGCGTTTTTGTATTTTTCTTTCGCTGCTCACAACTCTCCCACCTTTCTGCCTTGCATGTGCCTTTGCCCGCTGCTCCTGCTGCCTGGCCAGGTGAGTCCAAAGGGTGGTTCGAGCTTCTTTGGTATATCGCGTTGGCGTCGGTAGGCTAGCCGGAATAGTTTAGTTGGGTCGGTCGGGTCAGTCGCGCGTTCTAGTTTTTTTGGGGGGTTGGGAGGAGCACTTGCATACCGGCAGCCTTTCAGTATCAGCAATTCAGCCTTCTCTCCTGGCCAGCAACTTTACGCCACTTTTACGTCAGCACTATTTTACTCGCCGCCTTCACTACTATTTTTTACACCTACTACTTTACGGTTTGGCTATACAATTCAGCTTTTTATTTCTGGCGGCTTAGGTAGGTAGGAGTTCCAACATCTACGTCACTTCGTCATCCCGAGGTTACAGTCGTCACAGTCGCCACGGACGCCTTTCGGTCAGTTTTTACGTTTGCTACTATCTTGCCCTGGCAGCAGCTTCAATCGCGTGTGGTTCGTCTTTCCCCTCTCTCCCCCTCGGTTACGACTTCATCGCTTAGAACTCACTCACGGGGGGCAGTTTCGGGGACTTTTTGGAACTGCTTTCCGGCAGGCAGCTCATTTCTGGTTTCCTCGGGGTGTTTTTGTGATCTCCCCCTCCCCTCGCCTCTCCCCACCGGCTAGGGTGGTTGGGCGGAATCAGGTTGGGATGAGGTCAAAGCGGGTAAAGGGGTGGGGGGTTTGGAGCCAGGCAGTGACGTGCCGCGGCAGGCAGCAGAATTGCAGCACACCAGGCCGCACAGCTGAGAAGAGGCCCCTGCATGTGCATGTGCATATGCACGCGCAAAGCACCGGTAGGGTGCCGAAAAACAAAAACAAAATCCAAAAGAAGGATGTGAGGAGGAGGGGGAGGAGGAGGAAGAGAACCTGCGGGGGAGATACGGCGGGGAAGGGTGGCAAGGTGCGAGTGGGTGTTTAGGGTAGAGGCCCCACTATCGCGTGAAGTAACCGAGTACCAAGATATCGCAAGACTTAAGCACTTGAAACAGTCCTTCTCTCCCAGATTGATCCCCCCCTTCTTTCCCCTTCCTTCCCCTCTCCTTCCTCTTTGGCGGAATGTGCATGTGCGGGTTCCCGTTACTGCTACGGCTGCTACTGCTACGGCTGCTACTGCGACTGCTGCTACTGCGACTGCTACTCCGCAGTCGCAAGCACCACGTGCTGAAGGCGGCCCATCCGAGTCCCCTCTCCGCCTCCCGAGGCTTCTTCGGATGCCGTCACTTCTCCGAGACCAACAAGCTGTTGACGAGCCAGTCATTGGAACCCATCCAGTGGAGGCCGTCGTGACATGAAACACACACACGCAGAGGGCTCGGGAAGGGGGGGGGAGAACCACAGGCCGGCGGGGGAAGGAGGGGCGGGGGACGGAACACGAAACACGCGCGGACAGTGGGAGGATATGTGGTTTGGAAGGGGGGGGAAAAGGCGAAGCTCTCCAAAAGGGGCCAGGTGTCATGCGATTGTGCAGGGCATGTGATGCCGTACAACATGGGTAATGCACATGGTATCGTACCTGAGGGTGGAGGTGTGATTTGAGTGGTTTCGGGGCGACGAAACGACCTTTTTCGTGGACTCCTTTTCGGGGCTGAGTGGGATTTTTTACGGTTGGAGTTGGAGTCGGTAAGGTGGTTTGTATTGCAGACCTTAATTTAAGGATGTGTTAGAAGATTGGATCATTTGTCGTGCGATGTGGGACTACCTAAGGTGCGGCTGCTTGTTTTATCAAAATTTGAGTGCTGTTTTCTGGATCCAAAATTTGACCAGTTTCGTTTTGACACAGAATTTGAACCAAGCTCTGTCTTTTGACCTCACACATCTACTGACTGACGCAACCCCCCTTATTTCCCCAAATCTAACCACCACAAACTTGGACTATCGGTGCCGCGTTGCGATGGGAGGTACCATTTTGTCCTTTTCTTTTTTTTCCTTTCGTACAGGATCTCATCTCGTGCCTGTGGTTACACGAAATTGACTTTTTTGAGTACTTGTAGTAATTCCCTTGAATAATCTGTTCTCGCTCGTTAAATACTACCGACCCCCAGCATTTGTGACTAAGCTTTGTGAACGCCATTTAAACAAAAGCTTCACAGAGCTACACATTATTGTCATGTCAACTGTTGGTTCCTTTTGGAGGCCCCTTTCAAATCCGCGCCGCGCGCGTCCTCACCCCCCCCCTCTGCTCATACACACTGCTCCCCACGCACGCACACAGCGTGTACATCTTCTCCTCAAATCTCCCCCCTTCGAGGCGCCGTCTCTCTCGTACCAAACATAAGCACGCGCACGAGCTGGTTGAATGTGCAACACACGTACGAAAAAATAAGCACGACATGTAAGAAGAAGAAGAAGTTCTTTTACTATACAGACGTCAAATACCACACAGCCATGCGACTGCCCAAGTCCTGTACGGCACATCCTTCAGTGTACGGAAACAAAGTCAGTCCGACGTCAGAGCCTCTGCAAGGAGAGGAGGTCAAACAGGCAAAGGTTGTAAAACGCCCACTTCTCAATCCTCTTCCTGTCATAGACTCAAAGCTGCCGTACGGTGTGTGTCGTACTTGTTCCGATTTGCGGCTGATCACACCGGGAGCTGCTATTCCTTCTTGTTGTTGTTGTTGCCGAATGTTGTTATTAGTGCCCTCCTCCGCCGCCGCGTCGTCGCTCTCTAATCACCAGTCGATGTTCGTACGTTGAACGACGTCTTTGGAGTTAAACAAACTCCACTTTTTGGATTGCTGGAATCATGTTGTTATGTTGAGGAGTACGACGTTATCAGCGATTCCCCATCAATAAAGCGCTGCAGTACAAAATAGCACGGCAGGTTTTTAGCACAGTTGTGGTACAGAGTACAGGA